GCCCAGAGCTAATTTGGGGAAGGGAAGGAGGGGAGGGGAATAAAAAAGACTTAAATAAACGGTATGGTATGCTAAACAGGGGTAAGAATTTGCCCCACTTCCTCTAACTACTGTTTCCTTAGCTCAGACACCTCACGGATCTATGTGGCCCTTGGATATGGTTTTTTCCTGGAGTTGACACTGGCAGAAGCTCTCAAGTTTATTGATCGTAAGAGCAATCTCCTCACAGAGTAAGTCTATTCCAGGAGGATAGTGTCTAAGAACACCACCATTTGCAACACCTCTCCTTTTCCCCATGGCTTCCTGGGACACTTAGGGACCCATCTCCCCTCCTCCTCAGGGGTAAGGCTGAAGAAAGGGGGGATGCAAAGCTCAGTCCCAGATGTAGCACATATTAAGCACTCAAATTGTATTTTTCATTCACGCAAACATGTATTGGGCATCTGCTGTATGGCAGAGTCTGTGCTTGATGGTGGGGAGGCAGCAGTGAACAAGACAGAGGGCTTCTCGAAGGCTTACATTCTAGAAGACCTATATTGTTATACATAAGCACAATTTTGACCAGATCCGTGGAGTCAGCCTATAAATTGCTAAAACAAGTTACCTCTGACTTCACCTCCTGATAATATTTTTAAGATTATTTATTTATTGCCGAAACCGGTTTGGCTCGGTGGGTAGAGCATCGGCCTGCGGACTGAGGGGTCCCGGGTTCGATTCCAGTCGGGGCCATGTGCCTGGGTTGCGGGCACATCCCCATTGGTAGATGTGCAGGAGGCGGCTGATCGATGTTTCTCTCTCATCGATGTTTCTAACTCTCTATCCCTCTCCCTTCCTCTCTGTAAGAAATCAATAAAATATATAAAAAACCCCACAATGATCCTTCCTCAGGGTGATGGCAGTGGCTGTTCTCTCTGCCTGCAGTACTGCTTCCCAGGTGCCTGCAATTTGGGGAAGGGAGGAAGGACTGGCTCCCTTCCTCCTTACTCAGTGTGAGTCTTGCTTAAATGTCACTTCCTCAAAGAGGTCTTCTGTAACCTGACTTTAAAATTGCAGCCCCTGGCACTCCTGATTCCCTTCCCTCGCTCTACTTTTTTCTTTCTCCCTGATACTTATGACCCCCTAATGTTTACTGTGAAATTTACTTCTTTCTAATGTTCATTGCCTCCTCCCATTGGGATATAAGGTTTATACGATAAAGGTACATATTTTGTCTATGCCCTAAGTGAACTAGAATAGTACATAGCATATGGTAGGCAATCTGTGTTTGTTGAATGAATCTAAAAGTGAATGCTGGTAACAGGTTAAAGTGGGGATTGAAGCAGGTCTCTGTTGGTAGTGATGGGGAGGTAATGTGGGAAGAAAGTATGGGCTCTGGTTTCTTTTAAGGTTTTGTGCAGGGAAGGGGAATTGGGAATGTGGATGAGAGGTTTGAAATGTAGCTAAGGAAAGCCTCCCAGAGGAAGTGACATTTGAGTCACTTGGTTGAGTGAAGAAGGTAGGGGGCTGTCCAGGGAAGAACATTCCTAGCAAGGGGACCGGTGTGCCTACTGTGTTAGAGGAATTGCCAGGAGAGGTGAGCATGGCTCAGGTGGAGTGAGTGAGGGGACCCTGAGGAATATACTTAGATTAACACCCACTAAAGTGAATATCGCTCATCTAAAATGCCTTCTGGGTTATATTTATCTTTATTCCTACATTCATTTCTTCCAGAGTTGCCTCCCTTAGGGTTTCAGTACATCTCTTTTCAAACCTTTCCAGGGTCTCAGTGTTAGACCAAATAGAGCCTCAGACCTGCTGAGATTTCTAAATCTTCGTGATCAGGCCAGTTGGTGAACAGTTTACTTGAGGGGCCTGCTCTCACAGGCCAACGCAATTCTGAACTGGTGGTCATTTAGACCAAGAGCATTTTTTATAACAAAGCTCTCCTTGCTATGTCACAGGATTTATGAGCCTTTCAAATAGATTTTAATTTTATGAGACTTGATGTCTTTAAGTTGTCAGTGCCTGCCCCCTTGTCTGGTCTTTTTGATATATTGGTGTGGCCTATTATTGTGATGAGAAATCTAGTTGAATCTCTATTAATTATAATTAGTGGGAACCCCTAGAAGTTTATTCTTTCTAGAAGATGAAGATTTGAGTCTGTGTAGCTTGCTCTCTTTAAAATGCGTGGTTTCTTATGGCAAACTTTCAACTTTCTTTCAGGTTATTTTATGTAGTAAAAATGTCCTATCAGTCCCTCCTGTTCTTAGTATATTTTTTTGTTTGGGGAGTGGGAGGATCAGGTCTCTTTGTGTATTCTTTCCTGATTACACACGAGAGTACACATTCACACCCATAAACAGACATGTCATTATAGAAGGAGCAGAATAACCATATGACTAGTAATACTGCCTTACATATTAAATCAGTAGCAATAAATTCAACATATCCCTTTTGTGTTACAACTAGCATTTGACGACTTTTATTTTTTTCTAAGTGTTGAACTCCTAGCCTTTCATAGATTAAGCTTATACCATTAAGTAATTCTTTTCTTTGATGTTCAAATTGTATCTGATCAAGGGATCAAGCTGATCAATTTCATTCCTCTATTCTTTGATCACTACCCTAGATTTTCTTGGAAGCATTCTTGCTTTCTGGCAACAACACCCTCTATTTATTTCTTGTCCATAAGCATGGACTCAACCATCATTTGAGGATTTCACATTCCTTTGAGTAAAGTAGTCATTCACTTATTCCTTCAATATTCATTGGGTGCTTACTATGTGCTACACACTGTCTTGGTTCCTGGGAATACAGCAGGGAACAAAGCAGACCAAATCTCTGCCAAATCTTACACAGTTTACATTCTAGTCAGGGGATACAGACGAAAACATGTATATGATGTAGTGTGTCACAAACCATTCTTCAGAGAACAGCATGGAATGCAGATAAGAAAAATTGTAGTTAATATTTTAAATAGAATGCTGGATTGGATGTGGTGTGTGAGTGAAAGAGCAGTTCAGGTTTGGGGCTGAAAAATTGGAAGGATAAAAGAAAGAAAAACTGGAGGGATGGAGTTGCCATTATCTGAGATGGAGAAGACAGGGGCGAGGAGTAGAATTAGAGAAGATCAGGAGTTCAATCTAGGATCTGTTAAGTGTGAGCTGCTTGTTAAACATTAAGGTTGATTTTTTTAAATATATTTTATTGATTTTTTACAGAGAGGAAGGGAGAGAGATAGAGAGTTAGAAACATCGATGAGAGAGAAACATCGATCAGCTGCCTCCTGCACATCTACTGGAGATGTGCCCGCAACCCAGGTACATGCCCTTGACCGGAATCGAACCCAGGACCCTTCAGTCCGCAGGCCGACGCTCTATCCACTGAGCCAAACCGGTTTTCGGCAAGGTTGAATTTTTAAGATGTAGTTAAAACTCCCAAGGCTGGAGTTCGGGAGAGAGGTATGGACTGAATATATACATTTGGGAGACATTGATATGTAAACAGGTTTATACTATTTTTTTTCTAATTTATCATCCTGTGTTGTTGCCTTCTACTTTCTTACAGTATTTCATTTCCCTAAAACTGACTCCTGCATTTACAGATAGCTCAGCACAATGAAGTCCACATTCCTTATCATGACATCAAGATCCAGCATGATCTAGCCCCTTACTTCTTCTTGGACCCAGTTTTCTTCCATCATTCACTTAATTTTCTAATACTCTTACCTGACTGCTCCTCAAAAAGCTCTTTCCTGCCGTCTGGTCTTCTTTGTGGAAAAGACCTTCGTACTGTTTAACTCTTACTCATTCTACATTCTTCAGAAAGGCCTCCCATGACCCTTTGTCATTGAGGATTCTTTGGAGTGAAAATGATCCCAGTTGGCTTATCGAAGGAATGCACTGGTTTGTGTAACTCGAACATTCCAGGGCCAAATTGGTTTCAGGCAACTCTAGCTTCCCAGTTGCTTAGGCCTTTCTTGAGTACTCTCTGTGACACCCAACATCTAACCCTTTGGTAAATCCTGTTGACTCTACCTTCAAAATACTAGTATATCCCAAATCCAATTATTTCTCATCACCTCAACTGCTACTACTGTGGCCTGAGTCCATGTCTCACATGGACTATTGCAGTAGCTTCCTCACTGGGCTTCCTGCTTCTATACCAGCTCTGCTTATCCCCAGTCAATTCCCCATAGAGCAGCCAGATGGACCCTCTAAAACCCTATTCAGTTCACATCCCTGCCATGATCACATCCCACTTACAATAAAAGCCGGAGTCCTTAACCATGACCTTGTAGGTTTTACATATCTGCCTCCTGCTCTCTGACCTCACCGCCTGCAATCCGCCTTCACTTATTCTCCAGCCACACTGTCTCTGTTGTGCCTCAGATATGCCAGGTACACCCCCACCTTGGTGCTTTTGCATTTTCTGCCCCTTGTGTCTATAACATCCATCCTCCATCTATCCAGATGATTCACTTCTTCATTTTAAGTCTGTACTTAAATGCTTCTCAGTGAGACCATCCCTGAGCACTCTGATTAGAATTGCAGCCCCCAGTCCTATACTCCTTCTTCTCTTATTGTCTAATTTTTTCATCATACGTAGAACCATCTGACATACTTCGTATTTTACTCCATGATTTGTCCCTCTCAATGAGAATTTGAGCTTCATGAGGCCGAAGTTTTTGTTTGTTGTGCTTTCTGCTGTCTCCCCAGTACCTAATACACCTGGCGTGAGTAGGGATTCAGTAATTCACTAATTCTTTGAGATAGTGCAGCTCAGATGATGGCCAGGCATCTCTGCATAGGAGCAGGTCAGATAGTGGGTGTCCTACCACCTGCTGTGGGAAGTCGTCCAGGACATAGGTAGCTCTTGGAATGAGGAGGAAGCCTCATCCTCTGATCATGGGGCCCACTTCGCCCTTTCTTGTTTCTTTTCTCCAGGCTCAGCGACAGCCTCACCAAGGACTCAATGAATATCAAAGCCCATATCCACATGTTGCTAGAGGTGAGAGCAGCTCACCCCACTCCCAGACTGTCTCCAAATGCATTTAGGGTGGTGACCTGAGGAAGGGAGAGAGCCAGGGACTGGAAGGCCCATCTGTTCCCCTCTAAACGGAGCCAAGCTGGAGCCAGGGTGGCTCTGAGGGAGGGGAGGTCAGAGCAAGCCTGGGGTGGGGCCTCTGTTCAATCTCTTCTGTCCTCTTTTTCAGGGGCTTAGAGAGCTGCAGGGCCTGCAGAATATCCCGGAGGAGACTCATCATTGACTTCCCCCCTCTCCAGACATTAAAGAGCCTGAATGCCTTTTTGAGTCACACGGTCCTTCATTTTCCCCCTAACCTCTACTGTTTGCTAAGGTGCTCTGTGTCTAAAGCACAGAGTTACTAGGAGGCCCAGAGATCCAGTCTGTGTGTCATCTTTAAAGCACCCCTGAAGTCCTGCCTGCAGCCTGTTACCTGGCAGCATTTGCTACTAGACTTACTGCTCTGTCCCCTCTTCCGTTGTCTTGGCAACCTGGGCCCCCACCTGACCCTTTTTTTTTTTTAATCTTGGGCACTACTCTTTTAATTACGATAGCGAATGGGCCAATTCAAGGTGGAGGTTTGTCCCCAGGGCAATTGGCTTTAACTCCTGGCCCTAAGGTTTACCCCTCTCCCACATCCTAATCATTCCTCAGGAACCTTAAATTACAACCATGCCCCGCTCGGCCTAAATTGGCCTCACTACTGCTTCTAAATAGTTCAGTTTCCACCAGTGGGCACAGAGCCAGATCCCGCCCTCCCTGCTCCTGCCCTTAGTCTATGTTTTGTCCAGCTTCTAAGAAATACAGAGCCAAGTTCAACCCCTTTATAGCTCTGGCTGCAGCTCGACCCTGCCCTCCTCGGCATTTAGTTTCCACCACTCTGCTCCTTCACTTGTCTGGCAGCTGTCCTGCCCTTCTGCCTCTGCTTCGGTCTAAATTTGTCTTTTGTAGCCAATCACTATAGAGTTACCCTGCCCGCCTAGGCAGAGCTCTGGCCCGACCCCTTTACTGCCGGCTGCTACGCCCACTTCCATATAAGTCCTGCTTCCGCTGAGCGGCAAGCAGGGCAGCACCGCCCTGTCGTGTTTTGGCAGCTGTCTAGGAGCCCTCATCCTCCAATCAGCAGCAAGCAGAGCCCACGCACCCCAATCCTCAGAAGTCTTCCATCAACCCCGTCTAGGCCAATCTGTGCGAGGCAGGCGCCCCCAGAGCCTTGTCAGTTACCCACTGATCAGTCTTTCTTGAGCCAATCAACGTGCAACGCCGAGGGGGCTGAGCACGCCTTCTTGAACCCCGCCATCAGTTCCCCTTGGGCCAATCACGTCATCGCCCTGTGGAGCAGAGCCCGCCTCCCCGACCCTGGACGCTGCGGTCAATTATGGCGCATGGCCAATCAGCG